TTATGTTGTATCACGGCATTAAGACAATTTTTACCTAACAAATTCTTTTTAGGGGAAATATCAAATTAATAATTTATAAAATTAATTGTTTCATATTATAGTATAAAATATAAATTAGTAATTTGTCCATCGCGCGTTGTCACGACGCTTATCAGTTTTGTAAGTTGAATTTTGACGATTGCTTTGATAAAAGTTAAGTACCGTTTGCATTTATTGGTAGACAAATATACCACATATGTACCATTGACTCACTACATAATTGTAAAAAAAAAATATGATATAAAACAACTAAATAACCAAATATCTAACATATATCAACTATACTTCCACGATACAAAGATACATTATATGTATGCAAATGCAATGCATATGATTCTGGATACAACTTAACCAAAGATCTCCATACCATCTTATCTAGATTCCAACATAATTCATACTATACGGTGTCTGGTGTCTGATACCATTAAAAAAGAATGATTCTCAAATCGATATACCATACTGTTGGATTAAGGCGTCAAAGATTATAACTAAATTGATATATGCTTGAATTGAAAGCAAAGTTCTTTTTGAGTTGTCTCATAACTTGTAATTGAATATAATGACATTTGGAAAGAGATGTTGATTTATTATGTTATTATGTGATTAATAAATTATAATAAATGATTTGTTAATATATTATATGATTAACATATTAATTGAAAATATTAATAAATAATTGAGAATTAATCAGAAATTAACTGGAATTAATTTTAGGATCAATTGGATTAATTAAAAGTGTAAGAACTAAGCTGCAATTGTTCAATAATTGAACAAGAGGGAATTCGAGAACCTTCCAATAGAGTTGACGGTTTGGAGGAATTAATTTTGGGATTAATGTGATTAATTAAAATTGTAAATACTAAGCTGCAATTGTTCAATAGTTGAGTAAGAGAGAATTCCTTAAGGTTTCTAGTTTTCTTAATTGTTATTTTAAAAGACTTTCAATTTAAATAATTAAAACTTGGTAACCCTTAATCCTAATTTCAAAAATATGAAGGATATGGATTAAATTTGAATTAATTAACTAATAGTATAATTGAAGATAGTTGTTTAATTCCCAAATGATTTAATTAATTTAATTAATTATTTAATTAAAAGATAAAGATAAACTATAATTAGTTTAAAATTAATTAATTAAATGTTTAATTCAGATCATTAGTATTTAAACCTTGTATTTTGGAAAAGTTTAAAATACACCTTATATATATATATATATATATATATATATAATATTAATTACTATATGCATAAGATAAACTCAGTCGAATCGCTAATAAGCCTCATTCACAAAGTCATTCTATAAAGAGGGTATAAGGAAACAACCTATAAATGATCGTTGAATGAATGTCATTTTCACCCACCACTCTCATGTATGGTGGAGGGTCGTCAGCTGAATGAGTTCAATAGGACATAATCAGATTAATAGTATAATCTATAAAGTACTAGAACCTTCTTTTAAAATCAAACTCTGGTTACTTTAAAAAATGTGAAATATATGTTATGATAAGTTTCGAGCATCGTTAGATCAAATATAGGGCAACATAAACGATAAACAATTCTGATCTAAACTCGATATCTAAAGAATCTAAACTCTCTAGTTTATGCAACTTAGTAGAACTCTAAAGAAAAAATACCTTTGATTTCTTAGTTGGTTTCTTCATTTTTCGAGCTACTGGATCGAACGAAAGAACCCAAACGAGAGTTCCTATTCTGTGATCGCACCCAAGACGCAAACAAGAACCAGATCCAAGCAATCCTCGAACATCAAACTCAAACAAAATGATAACCACGATTTTGTTCTTCGGCCACGACGTGACAATCAGATGGTCACGATGTGAAGAAGATGATTCAGGATTCTTTTAGGGTTTGAGTATTCTGAAGTTTTGTAGCTTAAAGGTGTATATCTCATCTGTCAAACCGGAATTAGAGTCCTATATATATATATATATATATATAGATATATATATATATATATATATATATATATATATATATATATATATGTGTGTGTGTGTGATTTGAAACCCTAGAGATAAATACCAAATATAACTATAATTATCTAAGGTATTCAAATCATTCTGGAATATTCCATATCCTATTTATTTACTATTAATTAATTAACAAAACAAGTCCCTTAAATAAATATCTTAACAAATCTTCTTCCTTTTGTTCTTGCGTGTAACCCAAAAGGACACTTTTATTTATAGTAATATTACCATGTTTTGATATGGCTATGGGCACTAGTCTCCAACAGCTCCCACTTGTACTTAGACATCAACAAATAATAGGCCTAATACATATTAAGAACAATAGTTGTGGTAGTTTAATATAACTACTGTACTTATTGGAACTTTGATATAAAGAAACCTAAGACTAATTACTTCAAATTCCTTTGATCTTCATGATATCTTATTATGAACTAGATACATGGATCAATGGTCAATCTCATGGTTCATGTACTCATCAGCATTGGTCGCACGACTTAGCTATATTCATCCCTATGAATAATCTACCAATACTATGACAAACTTAATTCATTATCATCCTCCAAAGATAGGATTGATTGTGGAAGGTTTGAATAATATATTACTTTATAATGAGTTCTAAACATGCAAAAATAAGAACAAGGATAATATGAAAAGTAAAAGTAACTTATTATTAATTACCAAATCAAAAACATCCAATAAATCCAAAAGAATATCAAACTACAAATTGGGTTATCAAACCAACTCACTAGAAAATCTAATGCCAATAAACATAGTATGAGCATCATACTTAATGTATGACAGTGGTTTGGTGTGCGGATCAGTTGGATTGTCTTTAAATGGAACCCAACTCACAAAAAAGTTTTCTTATAAGATGGAAATTTCTTTAGTTAAGTAAACACCCTCATTATCATAAAAGACCTCAATCGGTTCAACTATGCAAGGAACAACATCTAAATCGTTGATGAATTTCTTTAGCCACACTAGTTATTTAGCCGCTTCATTTGCTGGAATGTACTCTAATTCTGTAGTTGAATCAACTTTTGTTTCTTGCTTGGAACTTGTCCAAGTTACTGCTCCTCCATTTAATGTGAACACAAAACAATATTGAGATCTTGAATTATCTCTGTCAGTTTGGAAACTTGCATCGACATATCCTTTGACTGTTAGCTCATCTTTACCACCATAAACCAAGAACATATTTTTAGTTCTCCTAAGATACTTCAGAATGTTTTTGACAGTAGTCCAATGACTTTTCACCAGGATTGGCCTGATAACGACTCATCATACCAACAATATATGAGATGTCTGACCTTATGCATATCATGTCATACATGATTGATCCTATAGCAGAAGCATATGGACTTCAATCATTCTATCAAGCTCTTCACTAGTACCAGGACATTGGTTTTTGCTCAAAACTGTTCCACGTTGCTTAGGTACAAATCCCTTCTTAGATTCTTCCATATTGAATTTCTTCAAGATTTTATCTAAGTATGTTTTATGGAAAATACATATAAGACGTCTAGATCTATCCCTATAGATCTTGATACCAAGTATGTAGGCAGCTTCACCCAAGTCTTTCATAGCGAAACTATTCTCAAGCCAAGCTTTTACGCTATTAAGTGTAAGGATGTCATTTCCTATGAGTAGAATAACTACTAAAAAAACACCCTTCAATGACACGCATTGCATGTCATAAAAGCCACAGATGACACGCAAACACGTGTCACGGAAGGCCCTATCATAAAGGAAGACGACACTCATTTGCGTGTCGTAACCTTACGACGCGTATTTACGACGCGCTCTTACGACATGCAGTGTGTGTCAAGGAAGGCCCTGTCATAAAGAAGATGACAACTATCTGCGTGTCGTAACCTTACGATGCGCGTTTACGACTCACATTGCGTATCATTAAAGCCCCCGTCATAAAGAAAGATGACACACATTTTTGCGTGTCATAATTTTAAACATCTTAAAAAATATATATATTTTTTGATAGATTTACTAATTTTCAAATTAAGTAACACATTTAAAGTCTCATAATAAAAAATAAAATACTTATATAACAAAACAATCCATTTCATAAAATAAATATACTAATATTCAAAATATATCACATTTAATTGTTATTTTATTAACATTAGTCAAACTAGAAAAATAAATCTTCTAATCCAAATAACAACAACCATAAAACACAAACTATTTTGGAAATATGGATCTTTGTTACTTGTGCACAATGTAATAGCACCTCTTTTTATTAACTACCATAGTCTTGATTTGGCTTCTTCCACTGTTTTAATCCCCTGTCATTCTTCAAATACCAACCTCTGTATGTTAAACTGCATTGACACAAAGACAAAGGTAAAATGATAATTATAAGGAATACTACATTCACCAAAAAAATACCAAACTAAAAAAAGGATAATATAAATCTGCTTTTAACATGAGGTTTATAGGGAATTGTTATAACCTTTTAATGCATATACAAGCTACATATAAGAACTTAGGGTTTGTATGGAAAGTATGACTCATGTAAACAAAGATAAGCAAACTTACCCTAATACAAAAGCAAGTGTGGTCAGTGAAATTATATACCACTCCCATGGTGCATCCCATCATTGTAGGATTGGCCACTCCAATCCACTTCCCTAGAGAACATTCCACCATTGATAAGAATCAAAACTTGCAAATTTACAAACTTGAATCAGATTAACAAAAAACAACCAGAAAAGGTAAGATGAAAAACAAAATCAAAGATCTATTTTTGCATTACCTTAGATGAGGATTGAAGATACATATATCTGTTGTTTTAATACTCAGACCAAAATCATCCCAAATCAAGATCGTTGTGTCTGAATTTTTCTGTAAATATGAAGTTCTAGAAGGTTTCAAACATTTTCAATAACCCCACTTGAAAGAGTACGAAATGTTTGTTTTGCAGCCATGCGATGTGCTTCTAGAAGTTCAGGATCACTAAGAAGCTTGTCTAGAATTTTTTTCTAACTCTGTACCTCCACCTACCTGTAGGGGCAATTATGTCATATTACCAAAAATTAATAAAGAGTTTTACAAGGCCCAAATATTCACTTGTTTCAAAAAATTCAACCTGCATTACCGATAAAGGATTCAACCTCTGCATTGCCATGATCATATGTGAGAAATGACCCAAATGTTGACCTAACATTACCAAATCAACAAAATGTCAAAAAGTTCATAAAAAATAAAAATAATTAAAATTTACTCACCAGTCCAAACAACACAACCTACAACAGTAGCCTTGGAAATATTATGGCCAGTTAAACCAGGCAAGAAAGAATCTCCGACTACAGCTTTAGGGGTAAATCTATAAAATTCCCTCAATTCTCCTACATTAAAGAAAACATTTTTATTCTCTGAGAATTCAACTGAAATACCAAAATCACACATATTTATTTTAAAAAGACAAAAAACCTAATGTATCCACCACGTATACACTTGTTTCATATGTAAGTGAATCACCACGTGACCTCATACACATCTATCGGTAATTTTTTCCTGTAGGTCTTCTATATTTCTCATGTTTTGACTTACATTGATTTCAGTTCCTGAAAAGGCAACATCATATATTAGTGCATAACTATCATAAAAAAAATATAGACTTTATGGGACCTGAGACATACCAAGTTTTAGGTCACCAGAGAGAAGTTAATGATAAAAGGTGGAGCTTGTAGCAGTTGAAAACTAATTGCCTGAATATTGCTCTTGAATAGAAAAAAAGTATAAAGATTTTATAACAGAGATGTGAATTCAAGAATGAAGTAAATGAGATCATACCAATGGAACTATGAGTGAAAATTTAGATTGCATCAATGAAGTAAGCAGACGAATTACTGGTGTTGACCAGTTGCTAAAGGATTTTGTTGACATTCGAGCATTTAATAAGGTTAGCATAACTTGCTCAAGGAGATGAAAGCAAATAGGTTAAGTTGAATTCATAGATTTGAAAAACAAAAGTGGATGAAAAGGTAAAGGTAAATTATATTTATACTAACACCATTTGCTGAGGCAGTAAGAACAAGATTTGGCCATAGTTCACTTTCTACTAGCACAAGTTCATATGGCTTCTAATATTCAAGAAAAACATTCACAGCACCGGGTGTGTCAACTGGAGCAAACTGAATAAGGGTTCAATAATCATGAATCGAACTGAATTCATACAGAAAGTAGCAAATGTAACCTGTATCATGAGATATAAACATATATATACCTGATATATGACATCACAATGAAGGAAAGTCTTTAGTACTTCACCGTAACAACGATAGAACGGAATCAAAAGATTTTTATATAGAATGAGTATTAGGATGTTGCTTGAGGGGATGTTGCTGAAGTAATATGTTCCTAAACTTGATGATCACATGAACACAACCTTAAAAAGGTGTGACAGTAAGCTACAAGTGACATTGATCTCCTACGTAGTCTAACATTAGCAGATCAGCTACAAGTGTAACTGATCCCTTGGAGATCAAGGTCACCTGATGCTATTAAATCAATCAACAGCCTCACCAGTGCACAATTGCTGAAAAAAGGAACCTCTGGTTTGCTACTATATTCTACCTGATATTTAGCCAGATCAGCTACAAGTGGCACTGATCTCCTTCGTAGTCTAACATCAGCATTGGTGTTGCTCAAAATTCCCTAGAAAACAAGTTTTAAATTAGAAAAGACTTTGATTTGTCAACTTCCACATGCATTACCTGTAGCATTAGGTTTCCGCCTTCGGAATAGAACAATTTGAGGCTATTTAGGTTGTTTCTAATAATCACTGAAACAACATACAAAGCTTTTATGGCTTCTTCCTCGAACACACTAGATTTCACCATTGTCATTAGATTTCGTAATGCTTCAAGTTCAAGGACCTAAATTTCACACATATACAGTGATTTACAATCCATGTTGAACTCCTCTGACTTTGAAGCTAACAAACAAATGTATTTTAACTTACCTGCTTCTGAACTACATGATTGTTTTAACTGGCTTTACCAACAAACCATGCACATACCACCCTTATTCCAGGATCTGAGTTACTAAGTTCCCGCATAAATGAAGCAAGACCTCTGAGTTTGTGCAAATCTAAATGTAAATAAAAGCTCACAAATTATAAAATGGTTTGCACTTGCAAACTTTTTGGTATGTAGCATCATGATTAGCAAGAAAACTTTATTATGAAGTAGAGAACTTAAAATGAGGTATCAGATACAATGGATAACCAAACGTTTCTCAGTGAGTTGAAAAACAATTTCTTAGTTACAGCAAGATTAATAAGTTGAAAACCTTTGCCAAGTTACAATAAGATTATATTTATGTATCTAGAATCATAAACTCAATAAATTCTAAAGTAAAACCTAGACTAAGAAAGCACATACCTTTAACATTATCAATTGCTTCAACAAGTATCAAAAGTTCCTATAATGCACGAAGATGGTCTTCCAAACACATAGATGATTTATTTAAGTCATCAATAGCAATTCACATTGCTGAGGCAGTAAGAACAAGATTTGGCCATAGTTCACTTTCTACTAGCACAAGTGCATATGGGTTCTAATATTAAAGAAAAGCATTCACAGCAGCATGTTTATTAACTAGAGAAATAGAAGAAGTAAGACATATGGCTTGTAAATTTGAGCAATAGAAGAAGTAAGCCTAAAGTCGTCGGACCTGATGTTGTCGAAAAAGGGAAGCGAGGTATCGTGATTTGGGTTTGTAGAGAGAAGGGAAGAAGAGAATGAAGGGAGATCTTCAAGCGGGGTATTTAAAAATTTTAGAATTTTAAGAGGATTTCATTTCCCCCTTTTGAGATCGCGCGTTTTGAGTAAAAAATTATAAAGCGACATTCACAGAGGACACACATTTAAAATAAGCGCCCTCCATGTTTGTAATTTTTTTTGTGGGACAATAATTTTAGGGCAAGCATAAATGTGTGTCCTCTATCTTTAAATTTTTTGAAGGTTGGCATTATTTTTAGGACACACAAAAATTGTGTATCATAAATCAGTGCGTGTCATTGTTCGCCTGTCATTAAAAGGTATTTTTTTTGTAGTGAATGTCATCGACATACAAGAAAAGAAAGACAACTACCCTCCCACTAGATCTAACATACATACAATGTTCGTCTTTATTTTCTGAGAAACCAAACTCCTTTACTTTCTCATAGAAACAGATGTTCCACCTACGAGGTGCTTGTTTGAGTCCATAAATAGACTTTTCAAGCTTACATACCGTATTAAGAGACTTGGACTATACAAAACCTTCTGGATTAGCCATGTAAGCATCCCCAGTCAGTTTCTCATTAAGGAAAGTAGTTTTTACATCCATTTGCCATATTTCATAATCATGAAATGCAGTTATGGCAAGCAGTATCCTAATAGAATTAATCATAGCTATTGGTGAGAAGGTTTCCTCATAATCAATTCCTTGAGTCTTTGTGTAACTTTTCACAACCTGTCGAGCTTTATAAATCTGTACATTTCCATCCATGCCAGTCTTTTTCTTAAAGACCCATCTACATCCAAAGTTTTATGTCCAAGTGTAAGATCAACCAAGTTCCATACTTGGTTATCATACATGGACTGAATCTCGTTGTCCATCACCTCTTTCCATTTAGCAGCCTTTACGCTCGCCATGGCTTCGTGATAACTGTGTGGCTCATTATCGCCTGGCAGGTTGTTATCCTCTGGACTATTATGAAATCCATAGAACTCAGGTTGATGACGTTCTCTATCAGATCTACGAGGTAGTGGTGGAATTAAATTATGTAACATCTTGTTGTGAGGTGCTTTCACTTTTGACCCTTGTATCGAGATTTATTACATTTTAGTCCTTATAATGTAAGATTTGTGGCTGAGAGGGGCTAATATTACCATTTTTGGAATTATGGGGCGGAGCCACGTACGTTGGGCGTACGTTTCCGTATGCAACGAGTATGGGGTGAAGTCCCAAACCCTAATATTTAGGGTTTAGATCCTATTTATTCATCATTAACTCTCAAACATGGTTCCTTTCATCAGCCTCCATCCTCTCAAAATGTTTTTGCAAACCCTAATCTACCTTGCGAGAATTTTTAAGCTTAAGTGTGTATGTTTTGTGCCTTTGAAGAAGAAGGAAGAAAGTAGAGACCATCTTGGAGGAGTGAAGCACTTTAGATACAAAATCACACTATCATTTGGCATCACTTGGAGGTATAAAGTTCTGAACTTGGTGAAGTTATACTTAGATCTTGTTTTGGGCTTGATTTTATGTTCTTTTGGTCCCCTACGCTTGGTATTATGAGTAGGGGTTACTCTATTCCATTTGAGTTGTCCTTTCGAAGATTTTGGAGCCTCTTGAGTCAAAAAAACGTAATCTTGGATACTAGTTTCTTCCCATGCATGGTCTTAATGGATTAAGAGGTTAGGATCTTTGGTGATGGGCACTTAATGGCCATGCAAGACCATAAAGTTGGAAACTTTATGGTCAAAGACATCATTTTGGACTTGGATATGGATAATGGAGTTAAGGGCTTAAGGATTAAGCTCTTATTGAGTTGGGTTGGCTGTCAGCTGTGTACACTGGCGTATAAGGTGTACGTTGCACGTACATGGTCAATAGGTCCGTGCCTGGCCAATCTTCGTGTACGCTGGGCGTAAAGATGAATACGCTCGGCGTACTCAGCTGGGTTGACTCGGTTGACTTTTTGAGAATTTTAACTTTTACCTGATTTTGACCAAGTTTACCTAGGGGTATTTTGGGTACTTTAGATTGTGTTTGAGAATTTGTCATTTGGATGAATATGTGATGCTTAGAGTTGAGATTACGAGTCGGGACCTCATCAGGTATTGCTCAGACTGTGAGGTGAGTTCACCTCACTATACTTATGGGTCAAAGGCACCAAGGCCGGCCCATTGGATTAATACTTTGTTATATATTGATTTATGATATGTTGAGTATGGGATATATCTGTAAGATTATATGATAGTTGTTGATATGCGTAGACCGGTAGATCTATAGGACTATCTGTGATTCTGGTTGCATGCTTATCTGACTGTTGATTATACTTGTTATCTGTTATATGTCAACATATTGTGTTGGGTTGAGACTATACTGCTATGTAGGTGAGTTAAAAGACCGGGGGTATTCCAGTCCGATGAATGAGTGGACCCGAGGGTATTCCAGTCCGATAACCGCGTGGACCCGAGGGTATTCTAGTTTAATAACTGAGTGGGCCCATTGTATATTGGTATTCCAGTCTGATGACTGAGTGGACCTGTTGTATGTTGGCATTCCATTCCGATGAATGATTGGGCCAGGGGTAATCCAACCCGATGGCTGTGGACCCGTGGGTATTCCCGTCTGATGACTGATTGGACCCAGCATGCTTGTTCGTTTATGATATGTGTTTTGTGTGGTGGTACTTTGGTGGAAACTCACTAAGTGTTGGCTTACAGTTTTTGGTTATGGTTTTATGTACTTCCGAGGATCTTGAGATGGCGAAGGCGTGACCGTACACATCCTGATTTTTTGTTATTGATCTTGAGAAACTCTGTTTTGAACAATGTTTTGAATGTAATGGTTTTGTAAACACTTCTATTAGTAAATGGGTTCATTTGAAAAGTTTGAATTGGTTGTGATTTTTGAGATGTCATAAGTTGGTATTAGAGCCTTGGTTTGAGCGAATTGGAGGAACACCCGAGTGAATCCAGTCTCAAACTAAGGAAATGCAAAGGTTTTAAAAATGATTTTCAAAAAGTGTTTTCAAAAATAATCAAGAAAGGATGTGATGTGTACGATCAGCCGGAGCCAGTAAGTAGACCCCAAATTACCACACTATTATTTGATGTTATGATATGTTAGAACAACATTCTAGTGATAGGCTAGGGATCTTCAGGAATTGCATGATAGAATTTACTGATTATATGATGCCTGATAGCCTAGGTTTTCTTCCTTATATGAAATTGGCATCATTATTGTAGTTGCTTAGTGTATGCATCGAAATTGTACATAACTAAGATTTTATAGCCTGACAATGTTTGATTTTATCCCTATTTACTGTTCCTTATTTGGTTGTGGGCTTAGGGTAGAATCAAGTATTCGAATGTCTATAGGATCCAGTGTTATGTATGATTAGCATACACGAGTGCTGAAGGGTTGGTGGAATTTAATGGATGAGTTATGTGGGGTTAGCCAACCAGTTGAGGGATGTCTACCCTTTCTCTAGGAAGTGAGAATATGGTCTATGCGTATTATAGTAAGTGATGTTAGGTTTGTTGTGATGATCTGCCAAGACAAATACGGGTAGATATGGAAGGTAGTATGGGCCTATAATACTGGAAGCACAGGATTCGTACGCGTAACAGGGAAGTCACAACCCCTAGGGTTTTGTTTGGGAAGGGTTCCTATGGTATGATATGCGTTTTATCTGATATCTCCCTGGTTTATTTTCAGTATGGTGGTTACGAGGCGATTTGAGTCAGGATCCGGATCAGGAGTCCAGGATGGGCTAGGATCGACAGAGGACCGTGTTAGGGAGATCCTTCATGAGGAGGTTGTTTCTATTTTCCGAGAGAAGATAACAGAGCTATTTGGGTCTATCAAGACCGCTATGATGGAGTTCTTTCATGACCGATACGCTGCACTTTCTGAGACTACCGCTGCTGCAGTTACCGCAGTTGTTGCTGTGGCAGGGGTTAGCGCTGGGAAAGCTTTCCAGTACCAGGACTTCGATAATACGAAGCCCCCGATGTTTAACCAGGTTAAAGATCCGATCATTGCTATGTGGTGGCTGTCAGACGTTGAGGGATGTTTCTTTACTTACTCTTGCCCAGCTTACCAGAAGGTCAAGTGCGCTCTAAAC